GTTAACTAACTAAAACATTATTAATATTGTCCTCTTCTCATAGCCATTAATGAAGAGGACACGATAACTAGATGGTAAGACCAGACCCATAGATGCTTTATATGCTGTGTAGATTAATATTGAGCATTTCAGCGACTAGCAATGTATTGATCAGGGCTAGGATGGAAATTGCAGAAATAGGCTCACTCTGCCTCCCAGCATATACTTAGGTATCGATAAATGTGAAACATCTTACCCAGTACCTGACACCCTGTAGGCACAGAATACATGCTAATTGCCTTCTACAGAGCCCAACTGGAGCAGCCACTATGTTCTTGCAGCTCCTGCAATACTAGAATGGCTCAAATATGAAATTTCACTTCTTCCAGTCTCTTGAATAATAACTGCTTATGGTGAAGGAAGGGCTTCTCAACTTGGGTATCACCTCTTGGTAATAATTCTCCATTTTTTTTGTAAACAAACCATGCTTTGTAGTTTTCTTTCTTTTTAATTTTTTTTTTTTTGAGACAGAGTTTCGCTGTTGTTACCCAGGCTGGAGTACAATGGCACAATCTCGGCTCACCTCAACCTCCGCCTCCTGGGTTCAAGCAATTCTCCTGCCTCAGCCTCCCGAGTAGCTGGGACTACAGGCGTGCACCACCATGCCTGGCTAATTTTTGTATTTTTAATAGAGACGGGGTTTCACCTTGCTGACCAAGATGGTCTCAATCTCGTGATCCACCCGCCTCGGCCTCCCAAAGTGCTGGGATTATAGGCGTGAGCCACCGCGCCCGGCTCTTTTTAATTTTTGAGAAAGAGTCTCCCTCTGTCACCCAGGCTAGAGTGCAGTGGTACAATCTCAGCTCACTGCAGCCTCTGCCTCCCAGGTTCAAGAGATTTTCCTGCCTCAGTCTCCTGAGTAGTTGGGATTACAGGCATGTGCCACCATGCCCAGCTAATTTTTGTATTTTTAGTAGAGACAGGGTTTCATCATATTGAGCAGGCTGGTCTTGAACTTGTGATCTCAAGTGATTCACCCACCTCAGCCTCCCAAAGTGCTGGGATTACAGGTGTGAGCCATCACACCCAGCTAGCTTTATAGTTTTCAATGAGTTCACATAAATCAGCTCATTTGATCCACAGCCTCAAAATGTTACAGGAAAGGGGTCTCAATCCAGATGCCAAGAGAGGGCTCTTTGATCTCTCACAAGAAATAATTCAGGGTGAGTCCATAGGGTAAAGTGAAAGCAAGCTTATTATGAAAGTGAAGGAATACAAGAATGGCTGCACCATAGGCTGCTGGTTGCCCATTTGTGTGTTTATTTCTTGACTATATGCTAAACAAGGGGTGGATTATGTATGTCTCCCTTTTTTAGACCATCTGGGGTAACTTCCTGGTGCTGCCACGTAGACACTCACGGCACTGGTAGGAGTGTAAAAGTGAGGAGGACCAGAGGTCACTCTTATCGCCATATTGGTTTTGGTGGGTTTGGGCCGGCTTCTTCACTGCAGACTGTTTTATCGGCAGGTTCTTTGTGATCTGTATCTTGTGCTGACCTTGTATCTCATCCTGTGACTAAGAATGCCTTAATCTCCTGGGAATGCAGCTCAGTAGGTCTCAGCCTCATTTTATTCGGCCTGTATTCAAGATGGAGTCGCTCTGGTTCACACACCTCTGACAGAAAGACAGGTGGGATTATTCTCATTTTACAGATGGGGAAGGAAGAAAAAAGAGAAGTACATGAAGACACTTCTACAACTTCTACTCTCTACTGGGTTGTGCTTTTCTGAAAGATTCCTGGTGAGTTGTAGTAGTCAGCTCTCCAGCTGTGCTTCTGCTCCTTCACATTTGGGATTCTTTTTCCTTCTAGATCCGTATACTCTGTCTTATGCATGCCCCATTCTGTTAGTTAGCCATTTTCTTTTTCAAAAAATTTTAAATTTAACTTTCTTTTTTTTTTTTTTCGTGGAGATAGGGTCTTGCCCTGTTGCCCAGGCTGGTCTCAAATTCTTGGGCTCAAGCGATCCTCCCACCTCAACTTCCCAAATTGCTGAGATTACAGGCATGAGTCATGGTGTCTGGCCCCTCAAAGTTAGCCATTTTCTTATTGGCTATTTTTCAAATTAGGTTGATCCCAACTTTACACTATTTTCGATAGTGTAAAGATAGGTAATATTATCATATTATTATGATAATATAATAGTATAATATAATATGGTAATATAATATGGTAATAGTGTAAAGATAGGTAATACCTATAAAGATAGGTAATATTATCATATACCTAGCTTTATCTAAATCTGATTATTTCCTCAGAATCTATTACTAGAAGTGGAATTATTGCACCAAAACCTTCCCTGTTTTGAATTTAGCTGAAAAATGTTTTTCACCAGTGATACAGCTTGTGATAGGCACAGGAAGACAGGCAGGAGGAAATAGCAGTGTGGTGGTTTTGGATTAATTTACTAACTTACAATAAAGACTTTTTAAGCACCTACGAGGTTGGGCCTCAGGGGAACTCACTGGAGAGTTGTAGCACAGAGACTTTCTGGACTTGAGCCTGGGGTATAAAGCAGGCAAGACGTAAAGCTGGAGAGACAAAGATGGATCAAATGCTGTTAAGGATTTCATAGTATAGCAATGGATAACAGTAACAGCTGTTATTATACAACACCTCTAAGATGTCTGATGAATATCTCGAACTTGATGTGTCCAAAACAGAAGTCTTGATCTTTCCTCTAAACCTGTTTTTCTTACTCTCAGGCTTACTTATTTATTAAAGTGATGCAGCCATCCACTCAGCTGCTCAAACCTAAATCTAGGAGGTCACTGTTTATTCCCCCTGTCCAGCTGGTAAGATTCCAGTAGGCCGGGTGTTGTGGCTCACGCCTGTAATCCCAGCACCTTGGGAGGCTGAGGTGGGTGGATCACAAGGTCAGGAGATCAAGACCATCCTAGCTAACATAGTGAAACCCGGTCTATACTAAAAATACCTTAGCCGGAGCTTGGTGGCACGCGTCTGTAGTCTCAGCTACTAGAGAGGCTGAGGCAGGAGAAACAGCTTGAACCCGGGAGGCAGAGGATGCAGTGAGCCGAGATCATGCCACTGCATTCCAGCCTGGGTGACAGAGCAAGACTCCATCTCAAAACAAAACAAACAAAAACAGATTTCAGCAAATCCTGTCCCCACTACCTACTCAGCATGTAAGTATCAACCCCAAGCCAATCCACTCTGGTACACGCACCGTTATCTCCAGCTACGTGGTCCCTGAACTTGTCTTGCCCCATCCACTCTTGCAAGTCTCCAGTCCCTTCTCCAAAAGCAGCCAGGTTGATCTTTCACACGTCACACTGTAACATCTTGCTGGTTAACACCCTTGAATGGTTTTCCATTTCACTGAGAATAAACTTCAAACTCCTTCCCACTACCTTCAAGGCCCTTACTTCTTCTGGCCCCTGCATTATCATTACATAGCTCTCATCGACTGCTATCCCTCCCTTGGTTCACTCAGTTTCAGACACACTAACCTCAGGGCCTTCGCATTTAGCCATTTTCTCTGACTGTGTGCCCTTCCTGGACCTTTGCCAGGCTTTCCCTTACTTCTTTCAGAACCCATCCAAAATCACACCTTCAGACTTGCCTTCACTGGGCAGCATGCCTATATTACTGCCACACTCTCCACCTCCACCAACCTCCGCCCCCTTGCCACTTTCTAATCTCTTATATTTATTTTTGTTTCTTCTGACAAAGATTCTCTTCTTTGGCCAAGGCTCTAGTCAGGCTCCTGTGAGTCTTCTGCCTGACTAGGCCTAACCCCTTGGGCTTCCCTTTCTGTCCGTGTCGAATCCAGTTTGTGCAAAGAATGCTCCACTCTTGGTGTCTTAGTCCATTTTTTTGTTGCTATAACAGAATACCAAAGACTGGGTAATTTCTAAAGGAAGGAAAGTTATTTTTTTGCAGTTCTGGAGTCTGGAGAGCCCAAAGTCAAGGGGTTGCATCTGGTGAGGGCTTTCTTAAACTGCATGGTGAGAGAGCAAGAGCATGTGAGCCAGCTCAGATCACTCTTCCTCTTCTTATAAAGCCATCAGTCCCATCACAGGGACCCTACCCTGATGATTTTATCTAATGCTGATTACCCCCGCAAGGCTCCCCCTCCAAATACCATCAACATATGAATTTGAGGATTGAGTTTCCAACGTATGGAATTTGGGGGACACATTCAAACCCTAGCTTGGTATCTGACCACCCTCAATATCTTAGCACCCTATCCTGCTTTCAGCAATCATCCTGTTAGGTCAGTTTAGCAAGAAACTTCTTATCCTTGATGTTTCTCTTAGTAATTTTCCATCCACTAACTCTCATCCTGCTCTTTGGTCATAAATCCCTACTATTTCTTGTTGGAGTCAGAGTTAAGTCCAATTCCCCCTCTTCACTGCAAGGTCTGGTCGTAGTGGTCTCTCTAACTATCACCATGGGCTCTCTTACATAAAGTCTGCCTTACCATCTTTAACTAGTTTCACGAGCCAATTTTCCTTTGACGCTTTTCAGCATTTATTTGTCTATTGTTTGTTGGACCCACCAAGCACTGTTATGTACCATGACTGCAGACGCTTGTCCCTCATTTTACCTTAACCACTTGCCACACAGGAGACATTTATTAAATGTTTGTTGAATGAGTGATTAGCACTCGTCACAACTGTAACTCTTTGAAGACTAGGATCCTATCCATTTTGTTCTTGACAAAATACCGCCTAAGCCATGAACAAGTCTTTGATAAGTGCAAAGCGATTTAGAGGAAGGAGGGGTGACTAAACTGACTGAAGAAGCTAAGGGAAGCCTCATAGATACAATTACATTGAAACTGAAACTGAAACTGAAAGGGAGGAAAACTACAAAGATCAAGAAGGGAAGAACTGGTCAGCCAAGATGGCTTCTATCACTGGCCGCCACACTTAATATGGCGACCAGGTAAAGTTCCTGGAGAAAATCACGCGAGAGTTGCATCACGGCGGCTGTCCGCGAATTAAGCCGGGGGTGTGGAGCAGCCAAGATGGAGCCGGTAGCCGGCAGTCCGGGCCCACTGATCGTGAACAACAAGCAGCCCCAGCCTCCGCCACCTCCGCCGCCGGCAAGCGCACAGCCTCCACCTGGGGGACCGCGGGTCGGCGCGGGCCTCCTGCCCGGGGGCAAAGCCCGCGAGTTTAACCGCAACCAGCGCAAAGACTCGGAGGTCAGGAGCTTCGGGGGGCGAGGCTCGCACCGGCTGGGGGGCGCCGGGGGTCACGGGCACCGGGCCGCTCTAGGGGCCAGGCTGGGCTTTCCGAAGGGCTCGGTAGAGCCCGGCCGGGAACTGTCACTATACAGCGAAAGGAGCAGGAAGCGAGGTTGGCGGCTCCTGGGGTCGGAGGCATGAAGCCCGGGTCCCCGCTCGAGCTCCGCCGCTCGGGAGAGCGTCCCTGAGCCGGCGACCGCGGGTTTGCTCCCCTGGGCCCCGGCTGTGGGCGTGGCCTCGAGGCCCCTGCCACTGGGGAAGCCGCCTTCGCCCCAACTCGCGGGTGGGAATCTGGGGGTCTGCATGCACTCCAGGGCGCTGGGCGGCCCCAACCTCTAATCATCTCGGGCCTTTGCCCCTGGCACGGGGGCGCCGGCTCCTGGGTAGTGCCGCGCGCAGAGGACAGCGCGTGTGGGCAGGGAAGGCACCAGCAAGGATCTAGGAGGCACTTAGGGCCAGACCGAGCTAATTATCACGGAGAGTATTTCGCGGCCGGAGGTCCTGAGAGTAGGAGGGGGAAACATGCCTTGTTTTTCTGACCTGAGCCGGATCAGGCCATGGGTTGACAGTGCCTCTGGTGGGTATTTTGCCCAGTGCGCCTGATACCGAACTGTTGAGAGAAATAGACATTTTAAAGCATGCATTAGGACCCAGCATTCCTTCCTCTCTCGCTAGTGAGCCGTTCCTGCCGTTCTGGAGATGACATAGTCTGGAGCCGACTAGTAACCTCACCCCAAGTTAAAGAATTCCTCCCACTGCCTTCCTCTGCAGAATTCATGAATGAAGAATACACATGTCGGGGCATTTTAGGGCTTCTTAATCAGCACGTTCCCAGAGCACTTACTATGCCATCTCCTATGTTAATCAGCCCCCAAGCGAATCAGCCAAGTTAAGAGAGGGAATTCCTCATTGTCCAAGCATAATGTACTCATTCATACCAAAGAGCCACGATACTATCTTTAGACTTGTGAAATCAGTTCCTCACAAGCTTTTGCTTTTGTTAGCAAGCCTAAACCTCTGATAAAACATGTCAACAATTGGCAACCCCGAAGTAGAAGTAATTTGAGCTTAGAGTGAATAATTTGAAAAAACAAAGAAACTGACCTTTAAGGAGCCCTTGCATGCTAGGATGATGGACATCAGTGGTAACTACTCAGTTTTTCAAGTATGGAGGATTACTAAAGTGGAGGGGAGTGAACTACCTTCATCATGAGAGGAGTTATCATTTTGAAAAACGGTTTAAATTTTCCTAAGTAGCTGTGAATGGTCAAATAAATACCCTTTGATGAATTTTAATTTCTCTTATTAACCCTTTAATTTCCACATAGAGGCCGGGTGTGGTAGCTCACGCCTGTAATCCCAGCACTTTGGGACTCCCGGGTGGGTGGGTGGGGACGGGACGGATCACGAGGTCAGGAGATCTAGACCATCCTGGCTAACACGGTGAAACCCATCTCTACTAAAAATACAAAAAATTAGCGGGACGTGGTGGCACGGGCCTGTAGTCTCAACTACTTGGGAGGCTGAGTCAGGCCAATCACTTGAACCTGGAAGACGGAGGTTGCAATGAGCCAAGAGAGATCATGCCAGTGCACTCCAGCCTGGGCAACAGAGCGAGACTCCACCTCCAAATACATACATACATACATTTCCAAATAGACTCATTACATGAAAGACCAGTCAAATGGACACATTTAAGCAGAGACCTGTCTAAATCCATTTCTTTTTTTTTCTTTTTTCTTTTTTTTTTTTTAAAAGATGGGGTTTCACCATGATGGCCAGGCTGGTCTTGAACTGCTGACCTCAGGTCATCCACCCACCTCGGCCTCCCAAAGTGCTAGGATTACAGGCGTGAGCCACTGCACCCGGCTACATCCATTTCTTTGAAGAGACTGATGCTGTGATCTTCCGTTAGTCATAGCTGAAATCTGTAGTTGGGAGCTTGATCAGTGAATGCCTGGAGGACAGGGGGGCTGACATTTGATGAGAGCCCACTGTGTACTACATAATTTTGATGAGTCCTTAAAAATCTTCAAGGTAGGTTTTCATAATTGCCATTCAGTGAATGAAGAAACTGAAGTTCAGTAACTTGCGTGAGTGTACACTGTGTTGTCTCTGAACACAGTGTGGAGTTCTCGTTTGTGGCAATGGCTTTTTGTTTTTGTTTTTGAGACAGAGTCTCCCTCTGTTGCCCAGGCTGGAGTGCTATGGCTCGATCTCTGCTCACTACAACCTCCACCTCCTAGGCTCAAGATATTCTCCTGCCTTAGTCTCCCCAGTAGCTGGGATTACAGGTGTGCACCACCATGCCTAGCTGATTTTTGTATTTATATTAGAGACTGAGTTTTACCATGTTGTCCAAGCTGGTTTTGAACTCCTGACCTCAAATGATTCCCCCACCTTGGCCTCCCAAAGTGCTGGGATTACAGGCGTGAGCCACTGCGCCTGGCTGTTTCTGGGTATGTTATGTCATTTTGTGACTGGTCTTTGTTTTCCCATATAGATTGTAATTAAACCTAAGGACTTTACCTATTTTTTTTTCTTACTTCTGTCTTCCCAGTACAAGTCTTCCAAGATGGTATGTTCTCAGTAATCACCTATTTCCAGCAGGAAAAAGATTGTCTTTGTCACATATTCTCTTATGTTGGGAGGGGCTGCTGCCTTCTTTGTCAGTTCTCACTGAAATTTGAGACAAGGGCGGGAGAGCTGAGAGTTTCAATACTTACTTTGTCCTGTGCTATTGACAGCCCACTAGCCAGAAAGAAGTAAGACTTCTGGAATCTTAGCATCACATGGAAGGCCCATTCACTGCACAAAACACGTAGAAACCTTGTATTTATTTATTTAACAAATATTTCGGTATAGACCATTCATTCATTCACTTATTCAGGCCAGGTACTATGCTGGACCTTGTGAAATCATTGGTAAGTTAAATGAATGATGTTCTTGTTCTCAAGGAACCTGCAGTCTTGTGGAAAGGCAGACACCAAACACATCCACATTATCACTATAACATTCTCAAACACATTATCATTATAATGATAAGTTATGATAAGCGCTCTGGAGGAAAAGTATAGGATACTCTTAGAGGTTTTAGGAAACAAAATGTGAAGAAAACATCACAAAAGTGGAGGCCGTGGTATCCTGTAACACAACAGTGTCTCGAAGCATGTGTTTCTTTCTTTGAAAGAATGATCTTATTCCTAAAGCTCTCTCTTCTCAGCAGGGCTATTCGGAGTCGCCAGACCTGGAGTTTGAGTATGCTGACACAGACAAGTGGGCTGCAGAGCTTTCAGGTAAGGCAGGGACCTTTGTGTTATTTGGGGGTGGGTTTTTCCTCATTGGTCTTTAAGAAAATTAAGAATGAGTATCACTTAGGACTTCATTTCTTTCCGTAGTTAGTTCTGTTAACGATATATATATAAAACACGTTAGTTATTTGATTCAAGCCTTGTGTATCTTATAACTTTTTGTTGTCCTTTACTTTTATGAAGCTGGCTAGAGCCCAGTCCCATTGTGAGACAGTGATATTCCTTGGCTGTCCAATGTGACCCTGACAGTGGTCTTTCCTCCAGCAATGGGTCATGAGGGATGCCTGCATCTGTGCCCATCTGCTGCTGCCACTGCCACTCTCATGTAACACGAGGTCGGTGTGAGCTGCTTCTCTGAGCCTCTAATAATACAGGTCCTGCTCAAGAGGTAGCAGCCACTTGAGAGATGCATCCCAGGTGGCCGCCAGCCCTGGCATGGCATGGTGGGATGGGTGCACATCAGACTGGAAGTGTGCGGATGGCATTCTGGCACTCTGGTTCTCTCTGTTGTGCACATTAGAGCACTAAGATCCCTTTCATAATTAGAGAGCTTAGTCCAGGAGTCACTGTGACTCGGGGACAGAGTTGAGAGTGGAAGCAAACGCCTTGCCTTCTCTGCACATGTGAGACCTGGGATGCAATGCAGACACGGAACCAGTGGTGACGAGACTTTGTTCCAACAGAGCTTTACAGCTACACGGAAGGGCCAGAATTCCTGATGAATCGAAAATGCTTTGAGGAGGACTTCCGGATCCATGGTGAGATGATTTCCCCCACTTCTTGCTTCCTTTGCCCTGCATGACAAGAGCTGCAGGGTTTCTTTTAGGTATCTGAATGACCTGTGTCATCCTGGAACAGCCTGAGAAACCTGCTTGAACCCTGATGGTTCAAAGCAAGATACATGTAGAGTGGGCTTCTGCACTTCGGTGGAGGCTTTTCAGAATGTGCATATGGGGAGAAAAAAATAATTCATGTGATTAAAATTGGACCAAAAATACCAGCGTTTCAATTTGGAAATCAAATTCATAGAGCAGTAGTATGATCTTACCACTTACATAGGGGGGAACTTGTCTTTCTGGTCCTATGGCAGTTCTAAATTTGGTGAGTTAACATGGGTCCATGCCATTGTGAGGATTGTTCTAGGCTCAGGTGTAACTGGTTTCTTGCCCTGCAGTGACAGACAAGAAGTGGACTGAGCTGGACACCAACCAGCACCGGACCCATGCCATGAGGCTTCTGGATGGCTTGGAAGTCACTGCCAGGGAGAAGAGACTCAAGGTGGCTCGAGCAATTCTCTACGTTGCTCAAGGTATTGAGTGGACTTCCACAGGCTCCCCTGGCACCTCTACCAGTGAGATTGCCCACTCAGATACAGGGAGGGGCTCAGTGAGCTGAACCCTGTGTTGCAGGCACGTTTGGGGAGTGCAGCTCGGAGGCAGAGGTGCAGTCCTGGATGCGCTACAACATCTTTCTCCTCCTGGAGGTGGGCACGTTCAATGCTTTGGTGGAGCTTCTGAACATGGAAATAGAGTGAGCAATTTTTAGGGACTGAGTAGGGAAGGGGAGGCTAGGGTGGGAAGGGGGACAGAGCTTGCAGAGTTGACTGGCTTTTAGAAGGTTAAATGGGCCACATGGGGCAGAAGGTCTGGTCCTAGGCTCTGTTCTGGCCACCCAGGTTGAATAACAGAGTTGCTTACTTACACCTTGAAGACTGATGGGGACTAATGACAGGTTGCTATAGCTCCCCGATGCCAGAGTTTTTACACCAGACAGTGCAGGTCCTGGCCAGGCCTGGGGTGCTCCTCAGGAGACTCCTCACTTTGAGCTCCTTTTGAAGACCCTGCAGACTCTGCTGTGTGTGTCCTGCAGTTTCCCCCTTGGCAGGAGGCCAGGCATAAGACTGACACATGGGCTTAACCAGTGCCTGGCCTTGCCTGTGTCACCTTTGTCCTTTGTCCAGTGGACAGGTCAGCTGCTGCTCATCTAACAATAACACTGTCAATGATAATAGCTAAGACCACTCATTGAGTGCCTGTGTGTCCCGGGCATTGTTCTCAGGACATTACATGTATTAATTCATGCTATGGATATAGATACTATTATCATCCCCCCCCCCCGTTTTTTTTTGTTTTTTTTTTGAGATAAGAGTCTCGCTCTGTTGCCCCAGCTGGAGTGCAGTGGTGTGATCTCAGCTCACTGCAATCTCTGCCTCCTGTGTTGAAGTGATTCTCCTGCCTCAGCCTCCCGAGTAGCTGGGATTACAGGCATCAGCCACCACGCCCGGCTGATTTTTGTGTTTTCAGTAGAGATGGGGTTTCACTATGTTGGCCAGGCTGATCTCGAACTCCTGACCTCAGATGATCCACCTGCCTTGGCCTCGAAAAGTGCTGGGATTACAGGTGTGAGCCACTGCGCCCAGCTGTGGCCTGGGTTCTTAACCACTGTATCCTGTGGCCTCTTGTGCAGTCCAAGCATGTGTCACAGCATTTTGTTTCCCCATTGGTCAGTACTTGTCAGGGACTTCACTGACCCTCCTTCTTGGAGGAAGATGCTGACTCAAAATCTCCTGCAGCAACAGTGCCGCCTGCAGCAGTGCTGTGAGGAAGCCTGCCATCTCCCTGGCTGACAGCACAGACCTCAGGTGAGGCAAGCAGCAAGCCTGGGCTCCCAAGCGTTAGTCAGAGATGAGATCAGAGCAGGGCGTGGGAGGCTGTCTTTTGGTGTCCTTGGTGTGTGTGCATCTGTACACGCTCATCTGCAGGTGTGATGGGCTCGGTGTGAATGATTAGTAGGAACTGCTGAGGGCTTGTCTTAGGTGGGGCTCTGGGTTGAGACTCCCAAAGGCAATACAGGGTCAAGTGACTTATTAGAGCCACAGCTAAGTGTGGGCCTCCTCCTCACACTTGTACGAGGACCCGGGTATGGGGTGTTTTATATTTGGATGAAACACATGATGATGTTCCCTGGGCTCCTGCCTTCTTGTGTACACAGCTTGATCCTCATCTTCACTGGATTAGACCCAACAACTTCCTAATGTTTTATGGCTGCCCAGGAGTTCAAGCAACTGCTAAACAACAAGATGACCCTTCAGTTTTTGAGGGTTGAAATCTGGCTGTTTTGTGAATTTGGAGTTTGTAGTGTTCCCTCCTGGCTGTTAGGATCCCTGGGCGTCACCTCCCAGCTCCTGCTTTCCACTTTCTCGTCATAAACCCTGTTTTTGTTCTCACTGTGACCCTATTCTACTTTAACTCCATAGCTCACTACCACCTCTGTGGTATTTTTCTTTTTAGGAAGCTTAGGGCGGTAAATGCTTTTGGCCGTTCTTGTTCATGTTCATTTATTCATCACCATTTATTAATATCAAGCCCCTGCTTTGAATAAGCACTTTGTTAGACACTAGGGTGCTCCCTTGACTCCTGATCCTACTCCATCGTGAGCTGTCTCTTGTCCTCAGGGTCCTGCTCAACATCATGTACCTGATAGTGGAGACTGTTCACCAGGAGTGTGAGGGCGACAAGGCTGAGTGGAGGACCATGCGACAGACCTTCAGAGCCGAGCTGGGTAGGACCCTGGGGATCCTCTCTAGAGGCCCTGCCTGGAAGCTGAGGCAGAAGGCTTTGGGAGGGTCCTGATAACCTTTGTGTCACCTCCAGGCTCCCCGCTGTACAACAATGAGCCATTTGCCATCATGCTGTTTGGGATGGTGACCAAATTTTGCAGTGGTCACGCCCCTCACTTCCCCATGAAGAAAGTTCTCTTGCTGCTCTGGAAGACAGTACTGGTGAGCACCTCCTTGGAGGAGAACTCAGGTGGTAGGGGATGGGCAGTAGGAAGACTGTTCCTTGAATATCCTTTTGAATACTGAATTATGTGATTGGAAAACTGCTTTGGTAAGAAATATATATATATTTTAAAAGCTGCTAAAAGGAGATGACAAAGAAGTGCCACTTTTGTTCCATTGTAGCCAACGAGGACATAGGCCTTGAGTCCGAATAGACTGTACGCTCCTGACCCCTGAAAGCTGTTTTCTCAGTCGTAGACAGCTCTCCCCCAGACAAGTTGCCTCTCAGCTCTGAACGTGGCGTTTGTAAAGGGAATTGAGGCAAAGTTAAAGCTGGTGTAATTGGGGCCCTGATTAGATGTCATTTGAAGGGGCAAGAGTGAGCCCTGAGCCAGCCTTCATTTTCTTCAGGGTATGCTGTCAGCCTGATTCTATGTCTAGGTAGGGAGGGACTGGCTGCCAGGGTGGGCCGGCCAGCACACCAGGCTTGGAGTGTTGTTAGCAACCAGGCCATCCCAGGAGCCTTTCCCAGGAGGAGTGGCATGGGGAGACGGTGGTGAGTTGGGACTGCTGCTACACTGGGGCTCATCCTTCCTTCTTTCAGAACGGGTTGACCCTGGAGCCAGTAAGTGTAGGATTTCTTAAGAGTCATTGACACATTTTATCTTGGCCACATATCCTGTTCTTCACAAAGCCTTGCTGAGGCCACAGAGGAAAGCTGAATTACTCAGAAACAGTAAAACTAAGCAGGCTAAAATTGCTGCGTGGTTCTGGGGTTTCTGCTTCTTGGGAGATGTTTAGATGAAGCTTTTTTTTTTCCTTTCAAATTTGAACAACCAACTATATTTCCAATTTAACTTTGAAAGACTTGCATGTACAACTCGTGAAACATGAGTCTTACCAACTTTTCTAGGAACTCGAAGGGTTAGGCTGTTTGCCTTTTTTAAAATTGAAGAGTAATGTCATAGGTGCAGAGTTGAGTGTGTCTGTATGAGAGTCAGTAATTCTGCATCTCTACTCGTTCCTTGTTTCTTTCTCTCCTTTCCCTTGATGATGTCACTGAATTCTTGCAAATGGCTTTAGTCCCTTGGTCAGAGGTTGCCTGGGTCTCTGTAAAGACATGGGTCATGACGTCATGGCTGCTTCTGAGCCTGACACAATGGTCAGGGACCAGCCCTGTGGACATGTTGACCCTGGCTCTGCTCCCGTCTATGATGCAGTGCACGCTGGGTGGCTTTGAGGAGCTGCAGAGCATGAAGGCTGAGAAGCGCAGCCTCCTGGGTCTTCCCCCACTTCCTGAGGACAGCATCAAAGTGATTCGCAACATGAGGGCCGCCTCTCCACCAGCATCTGCTTCAGACTTGATTGAGCAGCAGCAGAAACGAGGCCGCCGAGAGCACAAGGTGAGGGCGACAGAGGTCCCTGTGACTCCTGAGGGTCCTCAAGGTGCACGCTTGCAGCAGTGCAGTCCTTGGAGGAGCAGGGCTGCTGGAAATGAGCTCTGAGTAGCCAGTCAGAATCATGCCTCCATGGCAAGGACACTTTGTCCCCTGCTCTGGTCTAGTTTATGATGTGTGCTTAGCACGTGGTGCTTTTGAGGGACTGGAGGAAGAAGTAGTTGATTGTTTGGGCCCAGTCTTGACTCTGCCTCTGGTTGTTCCACTGTTCTTAGCTCTACCCGACACACCTCTGCTGTATCTCCTTCGGCCTCACTTCCCTGGTCTGCGTCCTCAGTTGGCTCTTGTCTCATCTCTCTTCCCTGGTTTCAGGCTCTGATAAAGCAGGACAACCTAGATGCCTTCAACGAGCGGGATCCCTACAAGGCTGATGATTCTCGAGAGGAGGAAGAGGAGAATGATGATGACAACAGTCTGGAGGGGGAGACGTTCCCCCTGGAACGGGATGAAGTGATGCCTCCCCCACTACAGCACCCGCAGACTGACAGGCTGACCTGCCCCAAAGGGCTACCGTGGGCTCCCAAGGTCAGGTGAGTCTCAGATCTCCGGAGCACTCTTGGCTCCTGAAGCTAGAGCCCTCACACCCTCAGGTCTGCCACCTGGCCTCCGTCACCATGTATGGTCCTCTGAGGGCAGGCTGACCCTGGCTCTGAGATGAGGCTCTTTTAAAGCGCCCTGTGCTGGCCTGAGGGTCTCAGGGAGGCTGGCCTTGCTGGTCTCTCACAACATGGCCCCCATGTGGTTACTGAGTCAGTAATTTGAGTTAGCTCTTGGTTATTTAGGCATGCTAGTGAAAGGGAATAGGAAACAAATAAAAACAAGAGCATTTAAGCAAACATGCCCCCATCCACCCTGGGGTTGTATATGATTTTTAACAGAACAGTGATAGATTAAGGAAGTGTTTCTTTAGAGCCATAATGAAAATGTTTGAGATATATGTGGGTAAATTGATGGATGGGAAGGTACCTGGAGATACATAAATGGTGTCTGTTTGATAGGCAACAACTTAAGAAATAAAATAGATGAATGTGTGAGAGGATATAGAAATCACTTTCCTCAACCAGGTAAAGCCTCAGTTTTCAGTGATCTGTGAAGGGAATGTAAAACAGATCATCAGAAAATGCAGGGTATGCTGATTGTTTGGGATAGGAAAATGTGACCTGTCTGAAAAATTGGTGGCCTGTAGCTTTGTTTAAAAATTTAAATATTTAAGAAAGTCTCCTGACAAACTTGTTCATACTGTCCGAATAAAGTATGTGTTTAAGTTTGATGTATCCCCTTAATTTTATGAATAAACCAATTAACATATAATATATTTTCAGGTTATTGATCCAGTAAAATTATAAGAAACATTAAAATACTGTGAAAATTTCCGTTTTTTCCCCTTTTTTCAAGCAGAAAAACAATTGTAGGAGACTTTTCTTGTCCTGGCTTCACACTTTCTGGATGTTCTACGTTTTTGTTAACTGTAACACTTTGAAATAGCTTTTGTTAAAAACCTTTTCTCTCTCTTGTTTTGGGGGCATGGCAGAGAGAAAGACATTGAGATGTTCCTTGAGTCCAGCCGCAGCAAATTTATAGGTTACACTCTAGGCAGGTGAGTAGAAGCTGAGTTGCTTTTGCTGTGAGCTCTCCTGGCCTTTGGTATTTGGGGTCCCAGGTGAATTGATGTCAAGGCTCATCACAAGGCCTTCTTTATTCTCCAGTGACACGAACACAGTGGTGGGGCTGCCCAGGCCAATCCACGAAAGCATCAAGACTCTGAAACAGGTGAGTGGCTTTGAGTGAGCTTTTGGCCTCATTGGGTCCCAAATGAGTAAAGTGAAACCAGCCTGTAGGGAGAAGCTTTTAAGACTGTTGTCTGCTTGAAGGAACCTGGGGTAGAGGCAGGGGTAGACTTCGAAATAACCTTACAAACAATCTTTTATAAGTTTTGCTAGTTTTATTAAAAGTTTTACTTGTTTAAGCTGAGCTTTCATTTGGTACTGACTGGAAAGTCTTTAAAGATTATATTCCCTGACCACTGGGTGCCAAGATATATGCCTGTAGTCCCAGCTACTCAAGAGGCTGATGCAGGAGATCAGCCTCTTGACTGAGCACAGGAGATCAAGGCTACAGTGAGCTATGATCACGCCCCTGCACTCTAGCATAGGCTACAGAATGAGACCCCTGACTCTTAAAAAAAAAAAGGATTATATTATTTGACAGTTATTGGAATTCTTTTTTTTTTTTTTTCCCCCCAACAGTCTCGCTCTTGTTGCCTAGGCTGGAGTGCAATGGCGTGATCTTGGCTCACTGCAACCTCTGCCTCCCAGGTTCGAGTGATTCTTCCGCATCAGCCTCCTGAGTAGCTGGGATTACAGACATGCACTACCACACCTAGCTAATTTTGTATTTTTAGTAGAGACGGGATTTCTCCATGTTGGTCAGGCTGGTTTCGAACTCCCAACCTCAGGTGACTTGCCCGCCTTGGCCTCCCAAAGTCCTGGGATTATAGGTGTGAGCCACCATGCCCAGCCTTGGCAGTTGCTGGACTTCTAAGGAGCCCAGTAAATAGCTCTCCTTTTCCTTGCTCACATTCTCAGGCAGTTGAAATAGAGGAGTAGGCAGATGGAGATTGCAATGCCAACTTTATAGCTCGTAGAGCCGTGGAGAATGAAGCCTAATAAAGCAGTAGCATCCTAATACATTGTTCCAGAATTAGGCAGAGTTACCTACCAGTTCCAGGCAATGCAGAGAGACCCTGCTAAGCCTGGTAGAGGAGGAGAAGAGAGCACAGGCCTTCAGCAGGCAGATAGGTTCTAAAGGGGAAGGAGAAGGATGGGGACAAGGGTGCTCTGTGTCCCCTCCCATAGTCTCCAATCAGAAGAGAGGAGCGAGTGTCTGGATGGGGCAGAGAGAGACCAGGGGTGTTGGGCACACTCCTGTCTCTCCACATGGGAGAGAACATTAAGAGTGGGGAAGAGGCGTCCCACCTAACGGCTTTCTGGAGTGAAACTATTTATATGTTTTCGAAATATATTTTTGGAATTTGTAGTACTAAGTGGTCTCTGTGCATCTGGGCTTTTTGAGTACTTGATTTTGCTTTTAGTTTTTCTCCTGTCACTGTAGCTATCTGAAAGCCCCTTTGCCTCCTTTAATTTACTTTTTTCTTATCTACTGTGGGCTTCTTAACCCTGTTGCAAGAGGTAGGTGCCCACTTAGAAAAACACTTTGGGGCCGGGCATGCTGGCTCACTCCTGTAATCCCAGCACTGTGAGAGGCCGAGGTGGGTGGATCACCTGAGGTCAGGAGTTCAAGACCAGCTTGTCCAACATAGCAAAACCCCGTCTCTACTAAAAATACAAACATTAGCTGGGCATGGTGGTGCATGCCTGTAGTACCAGCTACTCGGGAGGCTGAGGCAGGAGACTCACTTCAACGTGGGAGGCGGAGATTGCAGTGAGCCAAGATCACACCACTGCACTCCAGCCTGGGCGACAGAGGCAGACTTCATCTCAAAAAAGAAAAATATTTGAGTTTGGGATTTTAGTTAGGGATTTTGGTGGTGACTCAATCCCTTTTCAGAAGACTGTGTTTGAAGACACATGTGTGGGGTTTTTGCTAGAGTGCAGGGAGTTTGGCCAGAGAATGTTTTCCCCAGCCCCTCTTTTCACTTCTCTCCCTCCAGCACAAGTACACATCAATTGCAGAGGTCCAGGCGCAGATGGAGGAGGAGTATCTCCGCTCCCCTCTCTCAGGGGTAAGTTGGGGGTCCTCTTCAGTCCCCAGGATCCCCAGCTCTTCCCAGGCATTGTGCTGGGATTAGACCACAAAGCTGCCCCAGTCCCTCCCCTCAAAGAGCTCCCAGTCTACCTCCCAGTGCAGAGGGTGACATGTGTCTAGTGCAGGGTTAAGAATACAGACTGAGCCAGGACCCTGCCTCTGACCCCTGGCTCCACCACTTTATGGATGGCAATTTAGGCAAGTTCCTGGGTCTCCCTATGCTTTATTTCCTTGTCTGTAAAATAGGAATACTAAGACCATCATAGGGTTATAAGGATGAACTGAGTTATTACAAGTAAAATGCTTGACACATTGTGTGTGTTCAGGGTTTGCTATTTTCATTAATACCATGATGTACATCACTGTTTACAGGTTCTCCTCCAGCCAGCTAGCAAGCTGGCTCAGGAGATTGTATTCTGGGCTGGGGTTTTACGCTTGCATCCATTATGTTAAAAGGGAGAAGAAGAAGTTGAGCAAGTCCCTGCAGAAACCCTCTACCAAGGCTTGCTCCCCAGCTTGCCTCAGTATATGGTGAGTGGCGCCTGCCGTGGGACCCTCCCACTACACTAGCCTTAGAGTGGGCCCTGCCCTCTTCCTTCCACCTTGGGACCAGCAGGAGGACTGCTCAGGGCTTAATTTTGGCCCTGGGCTCTCAGACCTGTGTCTGAAGGGTCTGCTCTTCCCAGATTGCCCTCCTGAAGATCCTGTTGGCTGCAGCACCCACCTCAAAAGCCAAAACAGACTCAATCAACATCCTAGCAGATGTCTTGCCTGAGGAGATGCCGTGAGTCTTGTTCTGTGAATGGAGCAGGGGGTGCAGCAGATCGATGGGGAAGGGCAAACATTTTCATTTTGTTAGGTTGGTTGTTGTTGGCCCAGCTTCTCTGCAGGTTAAATGTAGGTATTTTTGACTCAAAAAAAGGAAACTACTATATCAAAGAGTTTCCCTGGTTGGGAAGATGGCTTGGTCTAGTTGGCCTGGATTCTAGTGTAGATTCTGCCACTGAGCGAACTCCTGAGTGAATTGGGGAAAGTCATTTCCTCCTCTATAAAATGAATGGGGCCACACTGGACATTCCCCAAAGCACCCCTCTCCAGCTGTGTGATAGGGACACCCAGGATGAGGAGGGTTAGTTCGTCCAGCAACAGCTGAACTGGCACCAGGTCTAAAGCCTTCCCTTTCTGCCAGTGATCAGGCCTGCAGAATGCTAGCAAGTGTCTCAGGGCAACAGAGTGAGATTCTTCAGGGTTCTTTTCCCCTGGGTCCTGCACTCCTCTCTTTCATGTGAGAGTACAATTGAGATCATGTTCTACTTTGAGGAGGACCTGAGCCCTGACCTGCTCTCCTACCTGCTAGAGCCACCCAGCCCCTAGTTGTGGCCCTGGAGTGTGGCCAGTGATGGCCAGGTGAGGGAGGAGGCAGGGATTGGCTAACACCAGAGGGAGGATCGCAGGAACACTAGGCCACATGTGATGATGGTTCTAGAGAAAAAAGGAAAAAAGATTCTAGAGTCAAATACTATATATCTGATTCATTGATTTCTCTTACAAAGAGGAATTCCTCTTATAAAGATATGCGATGAGAAGTCCTGAATTAAGAAACCGATGTGACTCAGTGCTTCCTAAATTTATCTGACTCCAAAACCCTTCTTTTCCATGGCATGAAACTTGTCAATATTCAGGTATTCCACAGAACACAGTTGGGGGAACTCAGGTTAATATGGCAGCAGAAGCTTAGGGGAGATGTTGGAAAGGAGAAGAAGTTCATTTTTGGAGGAAAGGCGGAGAAACAGACTAAGAATGTATTTGAGGGCATCACGGAGAAGGAATAAATTGTGCCAGGCTACATTGCTTGGGAGGTGGGTGGGGAGCTCTGGGCTGACCTCTGAGATGTCCATGGTGTGAGTGGGGAGGTGGGAGTCTTTGCCCAGGGAGGCCTCTGGAGTCCATCTTTGCTGTGGGCACCTGGAAAGGAGGTACCAAACGTACTGGCGGCTTACCCAGGCAATTATGTTTCTAGCACCACAGTGTTGCAGAGCATGAAGCTGGGGGTGGACGTGAACCGCCACAAAGAGGTCATTGTCAAGGCCATTTCTGCTGTCCTGCTGCTGCTGCTCAAGCACTTTAAGTTGAACCATGTCTACCAGGTACCCGAAGGGCTTTCCCTCCTGTCCTGTGGGCTGGGGCCTCAGACACTGCTGCCCCTCCAGCCCACAAGAACAGGGGCCTTGGCCTTTGACCCCGTTTGAACTCTGCATGAGTGTTCCAAGACATGGCCCTCCAACCAAGGCCTTTGATCCCTGGAAGAAAGAGGGCAAGGTCCCAAGGGGTACACTATTTTTTTTTCTGTTGGCTTCAGTTTGAATACATGGCCCAGCACCTGGTGTTTGCCAACTGCATTCCTTTGATCCTAAAGTTCTTCAATCAAAACATCATGTCCTACATCACCGCCAAGAACAGGTGATGAGGACCAGGGTCCATGAAGGGGCGGGTATGGTCAGACAGCAGAGTTCCCAGCTGCTATTTCCCCCTCTGTCCATTCAGCTGACATTTTTCCGGAATCTACGAGCCAGCTCTGTGCTAGGCATCAGGACACAAAGATCAATGAGACATGGCCCCTGCCTGTGGAGAGCCCAGTGTGTCCATTCTGAGTCTGGCTAGTCCTGCCCCAGGTGACTTGGTCGTTGCCTGGGCAGGAGGGTTTCATCCTGGGATCTAGTACTTTCTTGTCCCTTCTGTACTGTTTTTTTTTGTTTTGTTTTGTTTTTTTTTTTTTTTTTTTGAGGAGACCATGGGCTGCTTGCTGTCTCTAAGGATCTCTGCCATGTGCCCTGTAATGCTGTGCCTGCTGACTCAGCCCCTGCTGTTGGCCTGGTGCCAGCTGTACTTGACATTACTTGCTCATCGGTGTGATATACCATAGGGCGCCAGCCAGTCCTGTCTCCAGAAAGGCTTGACATAAATTAATTGCCCTGAGTGATCTCCTCCGCCCCACATTCATTGCTATGGGGAAAGATTTGAGGGTCTCTGCCCCTTACAAGATCAACAAGCTGGTCTCTGGCTACAGGGGTGCCTTACAAGTTCTCTTGTAGCAGATATTTCCTCATCTTATAGCTGGGGGAACTGGGAAGGACAGTGGGACAGACCAGGTAGATTGCTACTTCTGCTCCAACAAGTGAGGGAGGAAAGCTGGGAACGGGCTCGGGCACGGCTGCTCCGCCAGGCCCTGGGCCTTTGCTCATGGTGGGCACCTGGGTCCTCTCCCCTCTGCAGCATTTCTGTCCTGGACTACCCTCACTGCGTGGTGCATGAGCTGCCAGAGCTGACTGCAGAGAGTCTGGTGAGTGGCTGGGCTCTCCTCAGCGGTTCCTTTGGCACCAGGGTCAGTGGGTAGAGAGCCTGCCTCCCCAACGCCACAGGAATAGAGGTGTTTCCCACAGGTGAGGTCACTGTAGAGTGCCCAGCTTTGAAAGCACTGTAAGTGTACAGAAGGGCCAGGAGGAGGGCCCTTGCAGAGCCGAGAGATTCGGATTTAGGGATTAGTTAGGGAGTGTGGTCTTCAGGGGCTGCTGATCCAGAGCTCACTGTAGAGTGCTTCTCTCCCTGAACACTGGACTCATCAGTAGGAGCTCTGGGGCAGCCTGAGGCCACAGCTCCCGGTATCATGGTTCATGTTTCCTGCAGGAAAAGTCTAGGGAGCTTCCCTCTTGCCCTAGTCCCCTGCCAACTTCTGGGATGGAGTCCCTGGGCTGCTCTGAAAGCAGGGGGTTCCTGGAAGAGGCCTGGAGGCCCAGCTATCCTGCGATCACTTGTGAGGGACTTTTAGAAACTGCTGCAAACACTGCAGCCATGAGGGCTGATTGTTCCTGGATTTTCCCTGCAGGAAGCAGGTGACAGTAACCAGTTTTGCTGGAGGAACCTCTTTTCTTGTATCAATCTGCTTCGGATCTTGAACAAACTGACAAAGTGGAAGCATTCAAGGACAATGGTGAGTCAGTGCAGTCAGCAGTCTTGGAACTTGGAGCTCAAAGAAGAGTGTTGCATTTCACGCTGGGAGCAGGGAGTCCCCAGGGCAAAGCTTGCTGTGCCTTTTCCCTTAACTTTGCTGTAGCCATATCCTTGCATTTTAAGGGCTAATGCCCAGTTCTTGATGAGATGAACTGGAAGCTGGAAGAGGCTCAGCCATACACTGAAACACATTTACACTTACAGAAGAGCTTTTTGCAGGTCGTCTTAATCTTGATGGGTAACATAACCAGGGTTGTGAGAATCCTCTTTGACTCTGGGTCTGGATGCCTTTGGGGTAAGGAGGTCCTTAATCCTCTGATACTATGTGTCTGTGTACACAGGAATGTTTCTGAAAAGAACTCATAGCTTGCTTCGATTCCACAGTGACCCATAGTTACGGTGATTAACCATCCTGGTTAGCCTGGAACTCTACTGGTTTTAGCATTTAAATTCCTATGTATCAGGAAACCCTTCAGTCCAAGGGGAGCTGGGATGGTTTGTCACCCTGCCCATACCTTCCAGAGGGTTAAGCAGCAGTGTGACCTGGGCGTATGCATTTATTTCTGTCCTCAACTTGGGCTGCTTTCTTACTTCCCTTCCTAGATGCTGGTGGTGTTCAAGTCAGCCCCCATCTTGAAGCGGGCCCTCAAGGTGAAACAAGCCATGATGCAACTCTATGTGCTGAAGTTGCTCAAGGTGCAGACTAAATACTTGGGGCGGCAGTGGCGAAAGAGCAACATGAAGACCATGTCTGCCATCTACCAGAAGGTGCGGCATCGGCTGAACGATGACTGGGCATACGGCAATGGTGAGGCTCTGCACTCAGCCAGATTGCGGTGGAGGTGTGTCGGCAAGGGTGACATCTTTCACTCCCTGCCCATGGTACTTCTCTGCCCTGAGCTTCCCAGCAAGGAACAGGAAGGAGCCCAGCTCCTGCTTTTGCAGCATCAGGATAGGCACTAGGCAGGACTTTGGGAAGCTACCCAGGCTTGGCATCTCTCATCATGCCCCATCTCTCCCTGTCCCTCCAAGTCATTCATTTTCTAGAAATTCTTAAAAGGCTTTGTCCCCTCTTTTCACCCCCATTTTGGCCACTTAAACTCTTACAGTTCCTGACTGGCGTCCCTGCCTCCGGTTCCTTCCCCTCCATCAGTGCCTCCGATTTCCCTAGTGATTCTTTTTTTACTTTAATTTTTTATTTTAAAGATAGGGTCTCGCTCTGTTGCCCAGCCTGGAGTGTGATCTCAGCTCACCACAACCTCTGCCTCCTGGGCTAAAGTGATCCTTCTGCCTTAGCATCCCAAGTAGCTGGGACCACAGGCACTTGCCACTATGCCCAGCTGATTGTATCTTTTTCGTAGAGACAGGGTTTCGCCATGTTGCTCAGGGTGGACTTTTTTTTTTTTTTTTTTTTTTTTTTTTTTTTTTTTTAAAGATAGAGATTCTATTGCCCAGGCTGGAGTCAGTGGCACGATCTCAGCTCACTGCAACCTCCACCAACCAAGTTTAAGCGATTCTCCCACCTCAGCCTTTCAAGTAGCAGGGACTACAACTGAACGCCACCTCGTCCAGCTAACTTTTGGGTTTGTTGTGGAGACGGGGTTTTACCATGTTGGCCAGGCTGGTCTCAAGTTCCTGGCCTCAAGTGATCCACCCGCCTCGGCCTCCCAAAGTGCTGAGATTACAGGCATGAGCCGCTGTGCCTTCTCAGGGTGGTCTTGAACTCCTGGGTTCAAGGGATCCATCAGCCTTGGCCTCCCAAAGGGTTGGGATTATAGGCATGAGCCACTGCACCGAGCCCCCTAGTGAATCTTTTCAACGTACACATCCTGTGCGATTACTGCCCCGAGTAAAATCCTTCATTAGCTTCCTATTTCCCTTAGAATTAGAATCAAATTCTTAGGCAGGGCATGTGAGGCTCACTTGTCCTTTTTCATTCTCCTCCTCTGCACTCCGACCCAGCTTCCTTTTCAACCTTGTTCCCTGCTGTCAGCCCAGCCTCCATCATACCCAGGACTCCAGGCACAAGAAGTGCTTGGTCCTGGCACATGAGCCATGTGGCTCCCACTGCTAGGCTCTGCAGGTACTCTCCTGTCCGCAGTGTCTCCCCTGCCCACCTGGCCTGCTCCGTGTGTGTGTCGTTGTGTTCTTGTGTTCCTGGAATAGAGCACCATGGCTAAATGACTGTGTCTGTACTCCCAATGCCCTGTGAATGTGTGCAGGCCCATGGTGGCACGCAGTACCTGGTCGGGGAGTTGGGAGAGAATGAGCAAATGAGAGTATCTCCAGGCTCCTGCCTCTGACCCCAGAGAGCCAGGGAGAATGCCACTTAGACAGAAATGTCTTGTACACATGGCTCTCCTTCTCTGGGTCTACATGATCTGTATAGTATAAGACTCTTTCTCAGTACCTCTGGCTTTTCTGCTTGTCCTTGACTCTCCTTTGGATCTAGGAAGGAATTCCTGTCATCTTTCTGAGGATGAACTTGGAGGTGTCCTGCTCCTAGTTGACACTCAACATTCCTAGCCAGGCCCCTGAGCTGCAGTGAATTCACGGGGAGCTGCTACAGGGCTTGACTCCTAACTGTGTTCTTCCTGCTTTGTCTCAGATCTTGATGCCCGGCCTTGGGACTTCCAGGCAGAGGAGTGTGCCCTCCGTGCCAACATTGAACGCTTCAATGCCCGGCGCTATGACCGGGCCCACAGCAACCCTGACTTCCTGCCAGTGGACAACTGCCTGCAGAGTGTCCTGGGCCAACGGGTGGACCTCCCTGAGGACTTTCAGATGAACTATGACTTGTGGTTAGAAAGGGAGGTCTTCTCCAAGCCCATTTCCTGGGAAGAGCTGCTGCAGTGAGGCTGTTGGTTAGGGGACTGAAACCGAAAGAAAGGATGATCTCAAGGTACTTGCAGTACTGTCCTAGTTCATTGCTGCAGTGCTCCCATTCCCCTCCAGGTGGCAGCACAGCCCCTCTGTGTCCTCCACAGTCTGTCCTGGGCTTTGGTGAGCCCAGCTTGACCTCCTGTTAGTTCCCAGGGTCCTGCTCCGAAGCAGTCATCTCTGCCTGGGATCCATTCTTCCTTTACTTCCTCCACCCTCCTCTCTTGGACATGGTTGGCTTTGGCTCTTTTCACAATCAGCCCAAGGCTGGGAAAGCTGGAATGGGATGGGAACCCCTCTGCAGTGCATCTGAATTTCAGGGGTCAAGCTGATGCCTCCTGAGACACACAAATCCTTGCTTTGGCAGCTTGCAAAGGAGGAGGGTTTAGGATTAGGGCCAGGGCCAGAAAGTCAGTGTCTTGGTTGTGTTCTGGAGTGGGGTGGGGGGTTTCTGATGTCATTCCAGCCTCCTGCTACGTTATATCCAGAAGTAATTGCAGAGGCTCCTGCAGCTGCCTCAGCACTTTGATTTTGGACAGGGATGAGATAGGAAGAGAAGCTTCCCTTAACCAGAGGGGCCATTTTTCCTTTCGGCTTTCGAGGGCTTGTAAATATCTATATATAATTCCGTGTGTATTCTCCTGTGTCATGTTGGGGTTTTTAATGTGTTTGTGTATTCTGTTTACATTAAAAAGAAGAAAAATAATTCCCCTTGGCGTGTCTGCAGGAAATACGGCCTCTTCGTATCTCCTCCGGGTCTAGAAAGTGTCTTTTTTCCTCCAGTATTGCTGGTCACCGCTTGTCTTTGCCAAGCTCCCCGCCACTCCCATCCGGGGGGAGGAGAAAGGGGAATTGGCATCTATCCAGTGTAAGTTAACTCCACAGTAATCTGGGATTGCTCTCGCCCAACTCCAGAGCACCAGGTTACTCTATTGATGGATTGTCCTGCACCCCTGGGTTTGCTGGAATTTCAGGAGGAGCCCCAGGTTTCTCTGGATCACATCCCTGAGCTGGCCTCAGCCAAACCAGTGTCAGTGCTAGGGAGGGAGGGGCTAGGTCAAAGCAAGGGGATCAGTTGCTGTAGGCCCTCCCTGGGGCAGGTGGTTGGGACTGAGTGGAAACTTAAGTGCTGGAGCCTAGGAAGCAGACCATCAGGAGTCGGGGGCATGGGAGGAAACAGAGTTGGAGGGCCAAGGACCCCACTGTGGGCGAGAGAAAAGCAAGGAAAATCTTTGTAGTAGGTGTCAGTGGACAGACACCTGGAGCCGACACTCTGGTCTCTAGACTCCTGCTTGTGTCTGCCTCAGAAGATATTACTGTTTCGATGCTGGTGAAAGGACTGTTGCCTTTTTAGAATTCCTGGAAGCTCTTAATTTTACCTGTAGGCAGTTGTTTTATGGGTTCTTAAATCTCCAAGGGGTCTTGACTTGTAAAGGAAACAGTGTTCTGGGGAGAATCTCCCTTTTGTTGGGTCTTGTGTTCAGTGCCTGCCTGGCAGGGGACCTGCTGAGCCTCAGGACAGGCATTTTGATGTGCCAGCATGGTTAGGGACAGCAGGGGTGAAAGGAAGCAGTGGACTCCTGGTGCTCACAGTCTGTGAGATGGGAAGTCCCTGTGACTGATGGGCCCTTTGTCCTAAAGTAACTTGCACAGGACAAGGGAACTGACACAATTTATGTGCATGATGGATTTCTGGCCATTTCTTGCAAGGACTGATGGGAAATATGTATCCTTGAGATGTCAGTTTGGGAGAGATGGATTTGCACATTCTTACTTTCCCCATGAAGCCTGAGTCACTGAGCCTGCGTCTTCAGAGGCCTGTCTCTCCTCTGACCTGCAAAAGAGAATGCAGGACTGTCAAAGCTGCAAGGGCCATAAAGCCTGGGCAGGTGAATCCCTTCAGCTAGTGGCCCAGGAGCCAACCTGGGGAGAAGAAGGGGCTTCTCGCAGCCACAGAGTCTGTTAGTGGCAGGTGGCCATTTGAACTCAGATCTTTGTACAGAAATGTCTTTTGGAGCCACCTCATTTTTGTGGCTTTTAAAATCTCATCTGGGTCATGAAATGGGCAGAATATATGAAGACCCTTTGTGAATGATTGAGTTACATAGAAGGTTGTTTATTGCTAAGTAGGCTCAGGGTCCACTGCTCTTTGAATCCACAGAGGGACAGATTAACCTGAGGTAGTATCACTCTAAGGATGGGAGCTGTCCCTTGTTAATCATAAGAGTTACTACCTGTGGGGTGCCAAGCAGGTACCAGGCACAATATTAGATGCTTCTTGAAGGCTTATTTTCTACACAACCAGCAAATACTGAGGACTTACTGTGTGCCAGCCAGCGTTCTAACCACTTGATATTCCTTGTAATATCCTGAAAGATACATGCCATTTTAATCCCTGTTTTGCACAGGAGAAAACTGTGGCACAGAAAGGGTAAAGAACTTGCCCAAGGTCATATAAAGGCTAGAGCCAGGATTCAAACCCGGGCCTCTGTCTCGGCATACGTGTGTTTTCCACTCCCTCGCACTCTGCTAAATTCATCGTCATACCCCGGCACTTAACACTCATGCATTCATTTGCTCACTTATGCACCACAGCCAATACTTATAATTGCCCTAGCATGGTCCCTGGCATGGAATATTCATGGCGAATGTCCATTGCTTTAGATCCTGACTGGGCTACTCAAGTTTGGCCTTGGCCTAGCCTCTGGTGTGCTCTGACTGTACCCTCCTCAGGGTAACTTGGCTGTTGCTGCCATCTTTTTTTTTTCTTTTCAGTCTGAGCCTAAATTTCTTTCTCTTCTGGGTCCCAGAGAACTCTTGTGTTGGCTGCCCCTTCTGTACCCGTTAGGCTCATCTCCCAGGAGGCTGACTTCTTGTCTGTCCTCGATGAGCTGACGTCTCAGAGGAGAGTAGCTGTTACATTCATTTGGCACTTGGCATAGTGAGCCTCAGGCTGCTGGCTATCAAACAAGGGAGGTGCACCCTCTGGGAGTGAGACAGCCCTGACTTTCAACTGGGCTCTGACCTTTACTCACTGAGGGACCTTGCGCTCCAAGCCTCCGTTGGCTCATCTGTAAAAATTGGTTTAATAATAGTCCTATTGTGTGGGCTGAGTAAGATCATGGAAATGAGCCTACATATCTGGCTGACAAGGGATGACAGTAAATGGTAGCAGTTCTTAGTCTTGGCAGTGGCCCCTCCAACTTTAACCTTCTATGAATTTGCATGCAATTCCTGTGTTCCCTAGAAGACTGAAATCCCCTTCAAGGACCAGAACCATGTCTTGGGCCTCCTTAAAGCCCTTGGACCTAGCTCGCTGCTTTAAATCCAGAGGCATCTCGGAAGAGTCAGCTACTCTTTCAGCAACCTGCCATCATACCTTGAAGGCTGCTGGGGCCAGGCCCTGTGCTAGATGCCCTGGATTTCCAGGTCACTAGGATACCATGCTCTCACTTCTCTTGAGCTCACAGTTGATGGAGACACAGCCAGAAGAGCAAGGAAAAGCAATAGTATGATGGGTAGGAAATGTCTGGAGGGCCCACCACAGGTCCTACTGGTCCCAGCCTCTTACTATGGGAGGAGAGATTGCTGGGGGAGCCGGCAGTCACTAACTGGGAAGGAAGGGGGCTCCAGCATCAGGAGCAAGGGCTCTGACAACTGACGCCTCATGCTGTCCACCCTCCAGAGGAAAATGGCTAGGATGAGCCTGTGGAGGAGGCTTGGACAGGGGCAAGGTATGTCTTTCCTCTGCTGGATAAAGGAAATGTTCTGGTCTTCCCAGTTCCTGGCCGCGCTAGCCTTCCTGTCTGGAGCTGCAGAGGGTCTGCACGTGGGGGTTGTAATTCAGGCTGAAGTGTAGATGGGAGGAAGGAGGATTGAATGCCATGTATGAGAAGCATTTCCACCTGCTGACTGAGGTGGGAAGCCTGGACTGATGGGCCCCTGGCTGTGGTCCTCCAATCCTGACCTGGTGTCCACGTTCCTGCCAGGACCAAGATTTAGGGCTCTGGCATCTTCTCTGGGGGAGACAGGAGCCTCAGCAAAGGGAGCTGGGATTTCAGGATGGGCCACTTCCCCTTTCCTTTCCCAGAAGGAGTGATCGGAGTACAGGCCTGGCCTTGGGGAACCACTGGCCTGGGCAGAAGTCTGAGGTCACCTGTAGACTGAGGCTGAGGGCAGGGATATCTAGAGATTTTGGGGGCTGTGTCTTAGGGGTGTGGAGGAGGAGAAGGGACATAGCTAATGAGAAGCAGGTGGAAGGGCTGCTCATGCCCTAGTCAGGGGACAGGCTGGCTGGGATGGCCCAGTCAGTAGGAGGACCTGTCAGCTCACAGACGATCCCACGGAACAGGCTCCGGGATGCCCATTCATATTCATTATGTGTGAAGTGGGCGGTTGTAAAGTTAGCTTTCTCTTCATTTAGCTGTCACTGGACAGAAAAATATGAGCTGTGGGCAGATGCCCCTGGATGAGAGCCAGTAGCCAGTCTCTGGCCTCCCTGTGCCCTCCCTTAGCAGCCTCCCACTGCACCATGGGTTCCCTCTTGGCCTCTGCCAGCCTCTCCCACTCTTGCTTTATTGATCTCTGACTCAAGTTTGTTTTTTCTCCTGTCTGTCTCTTCCCACCTCAGGTTTCTTTGGGTTTTTATGGATCCTTTCCTCTTCCCTCCCTCCATCTTTCTAAGCCTTCTTGAGAGAGAAAGAATCATGTTTTTGACCATCGCTCTATCTCTGGCACCCAGCACAATGCCAGGCTGAGTTGGTGCTCTAAAATGTTTATAGAAGAAACTACCCTCTACATCTCTCTGACTTTGTGGGGGAAGAAGGTCCAGAACTTTGCTGATCACTCCTTGGATGAAGAGACTTCTTATACAGTGGTGTGAGCCCTGGAGTCAGAAAGGTGGGTTTGAGCCCCAATTTCATTACTGCCTAGCCAGGTGGGGGAGATTCTGTTTATCAGTGGCAGGCAGAGATGTCTCTCCTTCCTGCCCTGATTCTCCTCTTTCTGCTGGGTCCCCTCCTGGACACAGGGCTTACACCTGGACCTCAGAGCCAGCAACAGGACAGAGAGGAAAGAAATCACCAAAAGCCAGACCCTTGTGTAGAGGGAAGGAGAAAGGAAGGGAGGGAAGGCACAGACTCCTCTGGGGATACATGCGACTGTCTTGGCTGAGAAATCTGATCTGGTGGGGGGGGGGACTCACCCCCTCCTCTGGAATCAGCTCAGCCCTGATAGTGTCTTTGTGGGCTTGTGTTTCTCTGTGCCTGAAAGATGAGGCGTGGGGCGGGGGTGGCTGGGCTGCTGGCTGAGGCTGAATTCTGAGCAATATGGTTGTGTTTACTGGGAGGGTGGGAGGGCCAGACCTTTTTCCTGCCTTCCAGGCTTCGGAGATAAGGCAGAAAGTGGGGATGAAGGATAGAATGGGTAATACTCTGAAACCACAAGAAAGAGTTCTGGCTTTTGTCTCTGCCCCACAGCTCAGACATGTTCCTGGAGCATCTGGAAGGAAGCCACCCCAATCCCACCACTCTGGGGTCCCAGCCCATGGGGAGTGCAGAACCTCAGTGGGCACCCTGCTCTTCCATTCTACCTCCCATCCACTGTCAGTTTAGCCAGTTATTTCAGCATGTTTGCTGCCTTTCCCACCCTCAGTTTTCCCTGCCATATGAGCCCAGCCCTAGAGCTGAGCTTTTCTCCCTTGAGGGCTCTGCTGCAGGACCACCTTCCCCTTTCTCACTGGCCCCTCAGAGGTCCTGGCCCAGCCTGCATCCTGGACACAGACCAGCCCCAAAGCAACCAAGTACCAAGCTCTGGAGGTGGACAGTCACCTGGCATAAAAACACCACCACCATCTTTATTAGAATTCTGGGCATTTTTTTTCCCTTCCTTCCTTCCTTCCTTCCTTCCTTCCTTCCCTTTCCTTTCTTCCTCCCTCCCTTCTTTTTTTCAACTGTCTTTACAAAAATGGGAATCAGGATCTTAGTGTGTGGAACTCTGTTTTATTCTGACCAACATCCAACATGGTTTCCATGGCATAGCTCTGGGCTGGTCCCATGGAAGAGATTCCAAATACGTGGTGGTTTTGGTGGAATTTCTGCCTCCCTTGCAGGGGAAGATGACTGCATGGCATGTTGGGAGTGCAGGCACAGGGTGGGAGTGAGGGCAGCTGGAGCTGGGGAGCCAGGTGCCTTTTTTTTCCTTTTTTCTTTTTTTTTTTTTGAGATGGAGTCTTGCTCTCTCGCCAGGCTGGAGTGCAGTGGAGTGATCTCGGCTCACGGCAACCTTTACCTCCTGGGTTCAAGCAATTCTCCTGCCTCAGCCTCCCAAGTAGCTGGGACTACAGGCGTGCGCCACCACACCCAGCTAATTTTTGCATTTTTAGTAGAGACGGGTTTCACCATGTTGGTCAGGCTGGTCTCGATCTATTGACCTCGTGATCTGCCCGCCTCAGCTTCCCAAAGTGCTGGGATTACAAGGCATGAGCCGCTGCATGGGGCGCCAGGTGCCTTCTATGCTGACCTTGGCCTTCAGGCCCTCCTTAGTGTCAGATGCCAGTGCGCCCCTGCTGGTGGGGAGGGGAAGCAGGCCTGACTCCACCCCATCATCAGAGACCCGCTTTGTGGTTTCCCGTCTCATCATGAAGAGCTACCCCAGTCCACTTGGCGCCCTCCTCCGCCCATTTTCCTGGGTTCCCTGAACGAGGAGCTAAGTAAGCTGTCTTAGCTGGAGAGATGACAATGGACTTGGACAAAGCTGGAGGAAGCAAGGCAGTGTCTCTCTGCCTCCAGCCCAGAGTTTGGGTGACGGGGCTCAGTTTGTGGCAGGAAGAGTCCTACCTGCTTCGAAGCCCCTTCTCCTAGCCAGCCCCACCTTATTCTAAGAGAAAAGACCCTGTAACATGTTCCCTGCTGAGGGTTGACAGTGCCAGCTGCTCTCCCAGACCTCCAGAACCTGGGGCTTGGAGGCAGAAGTGCTTCCTCCCTGATGTCCAGGCAGGGGTGGGCTAGAGGCGGCTGGGAATGGAAAAGGAGGTGGGCAGCTCAGTCTGCAGGTCCGTGTGACCGATCACGTGGTCCAGTTCAGAAGGCCGGGTGGCTCCTTGGGTTTTACCCTGAGCGAGACGAGGCTTGGAGACTTGTAGTCGCCGTCTGAGGAGGGCTCAAAGCTGTGGCCCCCCAGGGTGGGGGGAAAGCTGTGGATGGAGTAGATGCCAGGGTGAGCTGCAGAGGAGGCTGGCACCCCCATGAAGCCAGCCACACTCCCATGGGGGTGGGAATATGGAGACATGCATGGTGAGGGGATGCCCTCTGGAGACACAAGGCAGGGGCCCCCAGGGCTCCCGGATCCTGGACCGGCCCACAGGGAGTTCTGCAGCTGCAAAGAGAGGGGAAAGAAGGCCCATGAGCCGGTAGCCTCAGCTGACTTCCTTACCCAGGGGCTTTCTCTGTCCTTGGGGCCCCAGAAACTTTCCAGGAAACCTCCACTTGGCTCAGGTCTACCCCCTCTGGCCCCCAACACTGGCAGTGACATCTCAGGAGGCTCCTGCCACTGTTCTCAAAATGAGATTTTCTTCTTTGATTCCTTTGTGTTTTGGATTCGTCATTCATGAGCCAGGCAAGAGCCCCGATTTGCAGAGGAAGAAGTGAAGTGACTTGCTCACTGTCACACAGAACGCTGATGCTCTCCAGGTCTCTTCAGGCCAGAGCTCTTCTTATTTTTGGTGACCCTGCCAGGTCCTGACTCAGAGAGGGCTGGGGTCTCACCTGAGGGTGGCTGTCAGCGTGGGGCAGCACGGAGATGTCATAGGCAGCCGTGAAGGGGTTCCGCCCTTCCTGGATCTTCCCATAACGCTCGCGCTTCCGCCACTTGGCTCTGCGGTTCTGGAACCAGACCTGGGGGCAGGTTGTGGGGTTTGAGGGGGTGATGGGGCAGCCCTGAGGAGAGGAGCCTGCTAGAGAGAGAGTTGATGGTTGTGTCCTCTTGTGGGATGGGCAGCTGGCTCCAGGATGGAGGATCTCGGCTGTTAATCTGCACCGTTCTTGGGGCCAGGGGAGCCTGGGAGGAAGCCTGGGAGAGGCCCAAGCCCCAAGCGGCTTAATTGGTCCCATGGGCCTCCAGCTCTCACTCCCTAGCCGAGTCACTCTGGCCCTCCAGCCTGTCCAGTAAGGGTGTTGTGGTGGGGGTCTGTGGGTCTCAGGGGCCCTAGGCACTTCCGGGGTATACTGTGCACATGTGTGGGATTTCTGGCCTCCGTGCCTCATCTCCTTTTCCAAGCTACCCACCTCATAGCATCCGAGGAATCTCAGACATTTCTGTTCAGTCAGGGTCCTGTTTAAACCCTCAGTGACTCCCTGGAGACCTCGGTCCAGAGCACAGATTCCTAACAAGGCTCCTGCCTTTCTGCAGAGCCTCATGTCCTGCCAGGCAAACACATTCGATTCTTCCTGGTTGCCTCCCAAGCTCCCACCCAGCTTTCCCAAAACACTCTGCTGTCTTGCTCCTTCCATCCTTTGCTTAAGTTTTCTCTTCCTGGGCTGCTCATCCCCTCAACACATACATCGACGCTGGGCATCCTACACAGGACTTCCAAGACTCCCTGGACCTCTCTTTGTACTCACCCCATTTTATTACCACGATCTGTTTTGGAATCTGTTTCTCCCACTTATCTGTGAGTCCTTGGCAGATAGGGGTGGCACATCTGTGTGTTGTGCACATCTGTGTACATATCTGTGATGAATTTGTTTGGTATACGTGCCGTGGCTGTTACATTTATGTGTATTGGTATTTATGTTTTGTATTTCTATCATTTAATGAACATTTACTTGCTAGGCTCTAAGCTAAATTTAACAATGTCAAAACAAAACCAAACAAAAACAACCCCTGCTTTCCAGGGATATCTAGCTGGGAGTCACAACAGAAGCTGCGTGTGTGTCAGTAATCCATCTACCCCGTCTGAGATGAGAAATTCCACCCCAGCCCCTCAGGCTCCCTGCCCCATGTATAGGTCATTCCTATACATGCAGGCAGGTAAGGCACCAACAGTGAAGGAGCTGTGTATACCTCATCCCTCTACCTCCCAGGTTGCCAAGATAACAGAGTAACAGAGCAGACCTGTAGCAAGGTCAGGGAAAGGCCACCCCAACCTGCCCAGCTGCCTGGATTTCCTTTCTCTGCTCTCCCTCCCCTGTCAAAGGATAAAGGAGCCTGGAGCCAGAGAATCTGGCTATTGGCATTCCCTTTTCTGTCATCACCCATTCTCCCCTGGGGATCCCACTGTAGGCCTCGCCTGGGCTCTGGACCTGCCCTCTGAGTTGCCTGGTGTCTCATTCTTCCTCTCCATGGGACAGGGTGTATGGGTGGGTTTCATGCTCCTGCCAGAGAAAACATTCCTACTCTAGGGTCTCCATCCTTTGGGAAGCTTCTAGACTAGGTCTGGGGGCCTCATGGCTACTCCTGCACCCTCTCAGGTTGACAAGGCCTATGGGAGGAGCCGAGGAAGTGCTCTCCACCCCCTGCAAACACTTCGGGAAGAGCTGGTCAGACCCCACCCTAGAGGCCTGCCGAGGTGACTCCATGGTCCTGATTCTCCATGGCTTCCCATTCATCTGGGGTTATCTTGAATGCTGGGCCTCTTGCCCTGATGACCTCAGCCCTTAGGGAGCCTCGGGGGACAGTCCTGGAAGTCTGTTTTAGCTGCCACCTGGGAGGCAGGAGGACCCAGCAGAGAAGGGGAAACAGCTCAAGCCTCTCTGATCCTATGTTGGATGCAGCTACAGGGCCTTCTCTGTTGGTTGACAGCTGGCCTCTTTATAGACTGGCCTGCCAGTCCCTGTATCCTGCCAGGATTGTCTTCTGCCCTAGTGCCTTCACAAGTCTCTGGAAGGGCCCCATGCAGGGTGGGAGAGCATGAGCTTTGTCTCTGCCAAGTCTCCTCCATGGTGAGAGAGAGAGACTCCTCTGCCTAAGGGGTCACTTCCTCGCCTTTCCCCAGAGATCCAACCTACCCCTCCCAGTGCCTCCTGCTTTGACATCAAGAAGCCTACTATGATCTGGCCAGTTCAGTGCAAGCCAGTGAATGGCCATCTTCCTCTTGGGCCAGACTCTTACTGAAACTCCTTCCCCATCCCCAGCCTGCTTGCCACTTTCATGTGCTTTGTCACTTCCAGCATGCTTGGACATGGGCTTCCCTTCCCTTCCTCTCTTCTCAGCATTTACCCACCCATAGGCTGGGCTTCCCCAGTGTAAAACATTGGGGGCCATGGCCCTTCTGGGAAGCCCTGGTGCCTGATCTCCCCTGGGGACTTTGTTAGGTGGGGGAAGGGCTCCCAGCCAGCCTTTCCCAGCCAGGGTCTGAGTGCTGGCAGGGACTGACAAATTTGAGACACTGACCCTTAGACCTCTCGACAGGGACCCTTCCATTCCAGGCAGCCACCTCAGGAGCAGCCCCGATGTGTGTTCAGCACTTTGCTGCTTCCAAAATGTGGCCATCCCTATAATCCTCAAGATAGTCCCTACGCAGCCAGTCCCATCATTCCCTTTTCCTGAACTGGGAAACTGAGACAGAGATTCCATAACACACTCTAACCTCCAGTAAGTGGCAGAGTTAGGACTCCCACACAGGTGATGGCTCCAGAGGCCATCGCCCTCATACCAGGCATAAGCCTCAATATGGGCCAAAAAAGCCTGTGGCTACAGCAGAGCTGGGCATGAGGGTGAGCCCAGCAGGGGCAGGCTGGGGCAGTCCCCTGGAAAAGGTAGCTCTGGGAGGGACCAGCGCCCACTTCTCCCAGCCCTTCCAGGATCTGGTCACTGTGTGGGTGGTAGAGGCAGCTAGAGACCCCCATTCCTGCAGTGCCCTCACCTGTACCCGGGCCTCGGTCAGGTCTGTGCGCAGAGCCAGCTGTTCCCGGGCATACACATCAGGATAGTGGGTTTTCTGGAAGACCTTCTCCAGCTCCTCCAGCTGGAATGTGCTGAAGGTCGTGCGGTTACGGCGCTTCTTGCTCTTGTTCTTGGCCAACTCCATGGAGTCAGGGCGTCCCGGAGAAAGAGGAAGACGCAGGCTGGCCAGGCAGGGGCCTGGGGAGGGTTGCAAATTAGAGGGACCCTCTCTGGGGCCCCCTCGGCAGTCCAAGGGCAGCTGGGGGCAGCTGGCAGCTTTGGAGGCCTTCTCCTCAGCTGCAATGAGGAACACAAACAGGAGGATGGCAACAGGACCAGGGGCTTTTGTGGATCGGAATGGAGGGAGGGGGAAGAGCATCGACGCCTCAGTCTCCGCCTCCGCCTTCCTTTCCCTTCCCTGCCTCCCAGCGGCCACCCTCCATGGGAGCCTGGCATTTAGAGGCCTGCCTGCTGAGCCTCCAGCTGGGGAGGGGGCCCTGGGGAACTATGTGCTCTGTGGTCTGGGCGGATCTGCTGGGGCCAGAGTGGGGTTCATTTCGGGGAAGTGCTCTGTGGTGGTGCGTTCCACAGGGACGTGACAGGATTGGCGCCACAGCAGGACCACCGCCCTGGCAAGGCCAAGAATGGGGGAAGAGGGTGGGGGTGAGGATGGGGTGGTTGACATCTCCCGCCCCTGCCAGAAAGTGCTTCCTTGTTCCTGACTGCAGGCCTTGGTTCCCAGGCCCTTAGGCCCATGCCTCTGTTCCCAGGGCCAGGCAGGCAGCGGACGTGGGTGCTCAGACCACCTTTGGCTGGTCTGGCTGACCTTTATTCTGAGTCCCAGGTCTCAGGTCAATATCAAATTCCCCAGCTCTGGTGTATGAAGGGCAAGATGGGACAAAGAAGCTTCCAGAGGGATTGCTTCCCTCCATTCCTCCTAACATTGTGGTGTCTGCAAGGACCTAAGCTCCAGCAATAGAGAAACAGAGCTGACACTCTCAGAGAAGGAGAGTGGGGACCAGTGTCACAACGGGGCACAGCTCTCTGTTCCCATCATTCCCATCACTCCCCCCCCCCCCCCCCCCGCCTCCGGGAGTTTCTGACTGCTGTCCCATTGCCTGTGTGTAACAGGCAGGGAAGGACTTGACTGCAGACTGGGAACAGTTTCCAGCAGCCCCACTGTGACGTGCTAACCCTCACTCTGGAAGCTTGGCGGAGCCTTACCACAGCAGATCAACGGGCGGAATGTGGTGAAAAATAGGTCACCCTGATTGCCCACACCCTCTCCCTCTGGCGAGGACCCCCAGCAGTGTCCCCATGAAATCCCTTCTCAACAGTCCACTGGGATGGCAGATGAGACACCGCAAAGACGCCCCACTGACTCACACACCCTCTGCCCTGGCTCTGGGCCCATCTCCAGTGGAGGCCTGGCTCTGAGGAGACCCAGCTAGCTGGCACAAGAGGCAGTTTCTTCCCAGGACTTGGTGCTGGGATCACAGATGTAGCTGGGGGAGGATGGGACTGGAGAAACGGGCCTCTCAGGATCTGGGTCTGATGAGTCCCTGTCTGCACTGTGAAGGGACAAATCAGGCAGGGTCCCTTTTAGCTGGAAGGTGGTCAGTGACTTTCCAGGACTACCCAGGCCATGAAATAAGCTCCGAGTGTGTGTCCTGGAGGACTGGGAGGGTGAGGCAGGGCCTACCTAGCCTTGGACCATGCCCAGCCTGTACACAGGTGGCCTACAGCTACAGCCCAGCACCAAGGCTCCTTCGCAGCTCAGGTGGAGCACAGGGAGAAAGCGTTCTAGTCCCTGACTTCCATTCTTGGCCAGCACATTTCGGGATTAGGGGCAGTTGCATTTGATAGAAGCTTAGGAAGGAAGACTCACGGAAGTTGAACCAAATAATTAAAAATGATCAGGAAGACCAGGGACGCCAAAAGGGGACCCCACCACCACCTATACACACACATACACACACAGCAGGCCATGGAAATGTTCAGCCTGAGAAGGAAGAGTCTTGGTGTCTTGGGTTAGTAGGGTGGCAGTGCTGGACTCCAAGCAGAAAAGGGGTGAGGGTAGCTCAGGGCTGGGGTTCAAGACTACTGATACCTTGGCAGAGGCCCTCCAAAGCCCTGGGGCTTGCTCATCTGCCTTTTGGACTCTCAGTGTCTGCCTCAATAGGACCTGCCCTGGGGAAGTGACTACATCTGGGGCCCTGGGACTTGCCTTCCTGACCTTGAGCCAAGCTGCCAGGGAAAAAGGATGAAAGTGTAGTAGGACTTCGCAGAACAGCTTCCCAAAAGAAGAGGCCAAGCCTGCCCAGTCTACAGCCCTCCCAAGGGACCACAGAACTGCTCTCCTCATTATCATTGCCCTGAAACCTCCTTGATCTGTCTGGAGGACACCAGAGGGAGGCTGGCATCCCCCCTCTTTGGGAGAGAAGGGCACTCCTCAGAGAACACAGAGCAGCCTCCTGAGGAGCAAGGCCCAAAAGAGGAAAGGGATAGAACTGGGATAAATGGACAGCCAGGAAAGACAGGCCAGGAATGGCAGCCAGCAGTTTGAGCATAAGCTTGTAAAGGAGAGAGGGCTGCTCTGTTGAGGACGGGGCACATCTGAGGTGCGTATAGGCTGTGCAGAGGCGTCACTGCACCTGATCCAGACACTGGGTGGTTAAGGCGGTGTACTCGGGTTGGAGACAGCCGGAGACTCTGCGCTGCGGTGTCTTCTGCTTGTGTAACCGCAGGACCACAGCAGCAGCTGTTGGGTGTGAAAGCCAGGAGCCTCTTAAGTAGTAAAGGAGCTCTCTGTCCCTGACCCAGCTCTCAGGCCTGCCGCACCCCTGAGCGCCCCTACCAGCGGCTGCTTCTAAGCTACTCTGCAGCCAGGAAGCGGCACCGCTGCAGGCCCGAGGGCCCCACTGCCCCAAAGAAGGCATCCATTGAGGCCGTAGGACCAGCCTTGTCTTTCACCTTTCGCTGCAGCCTTGTTCCGCGCCCACTGTTTCCTCTGGCCACTGTGGGGTCGCTAAGCGACCGACCAGCAAAGCTCACTGAGGCCCAGGCCCCTGCAGCTCCCGCGGAAGACCCGAAGTCAGGGTGGACATAAATGCCGTGGGCAGGACCCCGGTGAGGCTTCGGTGCCCGTCTTGGAGGTTTCTCAGCCTTGGCCCAGAAACCTCAGCCCGGGTCTAAGAACTCGGGACTCTCCTCGACGTTGTCGGTCGGCTGGGTCATCCGGCTCAGAGCCTCAGCGGCTGCTCGTTTCGCACCAGCGGGCAAAAGTCTAGTAGGAGTCGCTTGCCGAGGGCGTGTTTCGACGTCAGAGCCAAACTCGGGGGCAGACTAGCCAAGCGCGGAGGGCGCGAGAGTGGCCGGCACCGCCAGCACGCAGCCTCGGTTCAGAGCAGGGCTGGACGCTCTCAGCAAAGGGCGGGCCGCCGGGGCGCGGGCGGCGGACGGCGGGCGGGAAAGGAGCGAGGTGCGCCAGGCTTTGGGGCGAGCAACTGCCCAGCCTCGTGAAAGATCGCGCCGCAGATGGGGCGCAGCTGCGTGCTCACTAGTGTGGACTGAAAACGCTCCGAGCCGGTTATTTTAAAAGTTGGGAAATAAGGCGGGTTCCCTTTTCGCCTGCCACTTCCCACCAAATAGGCTGCGTGACCCTGGGGGCTGATCTTCCCCAGCAGCCGGGCTCCACCGCGCGCCGCGGCGAGGTCGGCTCTGCCGCAGGGACAGTGACCGCCGCCCGTCGAGCACTGGCCAGAGCGCCGGGGAGGCGAGCGGCCGCCGGGTTCTCTCCTAGGCTCCGCTCGCACCCTCGTGCCTCCCTTTCTTTTGGCCTGTCCTCTGCTCAACTGAAATCGTTAATTTTCTTACCCCTTTGTTCTCATTTTGACATATTCCACTCTTTAAACACGTTCCTTTTTCTTTTGTCGGCTCCCTCCCTCTTCATCCTTTCCCCCCTTCTCTATTTACCGGTTTTGTTCGATCTTGCTTCTGCTTTTTTTTTTTTTTTCGTTCGTTCTTCATTTATTTCTTTCAGGTCATCCCAGTTCGCTGACTGCCATTTATCTCTCGCTCTCGCCGCGCTCTCCGTTGTTTTGTTCAATTTCCCTTCCCCTTTTCTTGGTGTTGTTCGCTTTCTTTGGGTTTTCTTTCTCAGTATTTCGTTGTCAAGAACACCCTTGCCGTCGGATTCCAGGGTGCTGGGAGGATCCTCCAGGCCGCTCGTTCCGCACCAGCGCTCTCGGCAGTTAGCGCGGCACCGGAGTGGTCCAGGCGCCCGAGCCATCGGTGCCAGATGCGGCGCGCCTAGCGGGGACGTGGGCCCAGTGGGGTGGCTCCTGCCTGACACGGAGTGCTGAGCCAGACCCGGTACCTGTTCCTGGCAGTGCTCACCGCGCTGTGCGGCCGCTGCCGTCTGGCTGCGATCAGAGGAGCCAGGCCAACTGCTTCTCATTAAGTCCCAACTGTGGTTTTTATCAGGAGAGCCTCTTTCAAAGGGCACAGACACGAAGCTCCGCGGACTCGTTCATTTCCTCCGTTGACCCCCACACACCTCCCCGCCCTCCCCTACACATTCCCACCGCCCTGACTGGGCGAAAGCCGGAGATGCCGGGCCACTCCGTGGAGGCCCGCGAGGCGCCAGCCGGGCGGCGGCAGGGGGTTGAGGCGGCTCTCCGAGGATGCAGCTCTGGGCCTAGGCTGCGGGATGTGGCCGCGCAGATATCGTGGGTGCGGTGCCGGCGCCGAGGCGCCTTACAGGTCAGCGAGTGCAGCTGACCTGCCGATCAGCCTGCCAGGCCGCTGCCTTCAGGCGCATTCTCGGATGCCGGCGCGGTCCAGCCGGCCTTAGCACAGGGCACCGGCCCGCGAGCCCCCGGCGCCTGGGAGTCAAGCTGCCTAGGGCTGCTTCTGACTGCCCAGCACTGATGATCCAGCGCGGGAAGCCAAGGCTGCGGGAAGGGCGTCTATCATCGTGCATAACGGCAGGGAAGCCAGCTTAGTCTGAGAAATAAGAATACAGTTATTCCGTCTTGAGGACAGCAGCGGCACTGCGCGACTAGTCGCGGCCAGATTGTGCCAGTCTGCCGCACAGGCAGCGCCCAGGAAGTGGAGGCTAGGCCCAGGGAGGAGAGGCAGGCCAAGGCCAGGCCGCAGTCCCCAGACGACCCGGATTTGGCCACTCTAGGTCGAGGCCCAGCCTCGGGGCCCTCAAAGGGCGCCAGACACAAAAGCCGCGCTTCTGCGGCTCAGTGTGGCTCTCCAGCCCTTGGTCGGGTCTGGGCTTCAGAGTCTGTGGCAGTCCCAGTTCAGCTTCGGCACAGCATGATCTCTCCTTCCCAGGTTCGGCTGCTTCCGGGCCCCGACTGGACCCCGAGCCGTCGCTACTCCACTTTCCTCGACCTCCCGCCTCCGATTCCCGCCGCGGAGGAACCCCGGTTCACCCTCCCGCACCGCACCGGCCTTTGCCTGGCCCGGGCCAGCGCCGACCCGGCTTCCGTGGGAGCCGTGGCGAAAAGCTAGAGGGGCAAAAGTTAAGAAGCAGGCGAGCGGGAAAGATAAGCAGGAAGGCCCGGGTGGGCCCGGGTAGGGAAGAAGGAGAGAGGGTCGGGCTGCGCGCTACGCCCCGCGCCACGCGTTACCTTCAGCGGGGCCCTCGTAGAAGTGGCCGCCGTTGAGTGCCAGGCTGGGCCCGAGGTCCTGCAGGTACTTGGCGGGCGGTTTGGCCGGCTCTGGGAGGTAGGGCTCCAGGGGCCCGCAGCCCAGAAAGCAGGTCAGCCCCGGGCCGCGGGGCGGCGCGGGGTGCAGGTGAGGCGCAGCGGCGGGGGTTCCCTGCGGGCCGGGAGGCTCGTCCCCCGAGGCTGCATAGGGGCCGGGTGCAGGCCCCACGCGGAAGGGTGCGCAGTGCTCGGGGTCCATGCCGGCTCCGGGCGCACAGGCCTCCGGGGCTCCGGGGCTCGCGCTACCCGCGCGGCCTGTGAGCTCCAGCCAAGGGGGAGGGACCTGGGCGCGGGGGCGCGGAGCCCCCGGGAGCGGCGCGCGCCGCGGGGGGCTGGGGGAGGAGGGCAAGGGAGGGGGCCGCGCTTCTGACTTAATGCTGGAACCATCCACGTCACGTGTAACCCCGCGCGGGTTAACCCCTCGGAGCCCGGGAAACCCCCTCCCCCCATTCACCCAGAGCCCAGTTCCAGGCGGCTCAGGAGAGGTTGAAGCAACCTCCTCTCTAGGGCAGGATCCCTTTGTCTGCCCATCCAGGTGAGTCCCTTGCTCAGAGCAGCACCCGTGATATCCAGCCTAGTGGCTATTGCCACCCCCTAGTGGCTATTGCCCCTAGAGGGGTGCGGCAGTGTGGGCATCCCCCCAAACACTGTTAGGCCTGGACTCTGGACATCAGCCTGGGATGAGGGCCCGGGTGGGCGGGCAGGCAGGCAGGCAGGCGTTAGGCTGCAATTTTACCTAGGTCTCTGCTGGGAGCTGGGCAAAATGCTGCCTCAGGAAAAACCACCTTCCTTAGAGATCTCTTGTTTTTCACAGAGAAAGGAGCTACAGTATTGGGATTGCCGTGTGGAAGCGGATCTAAGCTAGAAATGGGGTACTGGGGAGCTTGGGCCTGGACACTATCATTAATTAGCTGTGGATCCTTGAGCCAATCGTTAGTGTCCTCATCTGACTGTGGAGGTCAGGGCAAACCAACTCTGGGTCTTTCTATGTATTTGAGGTGTGTTTCAGAACTAGAGGCAGGGCCGGAGCAGACAGGGAGACTCCCACCCGCAGCTCAGGACCCAACAGTGTCCTGCAGAGGCAGCCTTTATAGAGCAGGTGAAGGATGAGCAGAAGGGCTGAGGTTCCCTCGGGCAACAGCTTGGAGTGAATGCCTTTCAGTGGGCAGATGATCCAAGTGTCTGGGGCTCCACTGGAGAGAGGCTGTCTGCACCTCAGACCTCAGGGCTGTGCTCCGCCCCGGCCTGCCGATTTGGAGCCGGTGAGGGTAGAACTGCATCTTCTAAGAGTTGAGTCTCCTCAACCAAAACGAAACCTAGGATTAGAACAGTAGCTTGGAATTTCAGAAAAGGAAAAAAACCCCACCCTACCTAAGATCTGGGAAGAAATACCCAAGGACCTGAGGACACTGCTCACTTCCCATGGATTGAGGAGCCCTTGGGGCTGGGTGAAACTCTTTTTATTTTCAGTACCCCCAGAGACTAGCAAGAGAGGTGGGGAGCCGAATATCATTTGTATTTCATTTGAATTCTCAATTTTTAAAGGACTCCAAGAGACCTGGCATCAACACCTCCCTCTTCCGCTGGGGATTAGAAGGGGTTTTTTGGCTCTCCTCAGCCAGAGTTGGGCTGTAAATCAAGACCAAACAGGAACCAGAAGCCTTGCATCTCACAAGGAGTCATTAAGCCGTTATTAAACATACCGTAACTTCTCTGAAGCCTTATTGGTTTTAACACCACATTGGAGGCATTATGGCCATTAGGGCCCCTAATCACAGAATGCAGACTGGCCAGAGAGATGGGAGCACCTGGGGCTGGTATTTCTAGTCAAGAGGAAGGCTCGGCCGGGCGCGGTGGCTCAAGCCTGTAATCCCAGCACTTTGGGAGGCCGAGGCGGGTGGATCACAAGGTCAAGAGATCGAGACCATCTTGGTCAACAAGGTGAAACCCCGTCTCTACTAAAAATACAAAAAATTAGCTGGGCATGGTGGCTCATGCCTGTAATCCCAGCTACTCAGGAGGCTGAGACAGGAGAATTGCCTGAACCCAGGAGGCGGAGGTTGCGGTGAGCCGAGATCGTGCCATTGCACTCCAGCCTGGGTAACAAGAGCGAAACTCCATCTCAAAAAAAAAAAAAAAAAAAAAAAAGAGGAAGGCTCGGCTTGAAATTAAGCTTCCCTTCTGGCCTCACTAGAGGGATCCTTTCTCCAGGATCCAGTGGATCCAGCTCTGGGCAACCAATTTGAACTGATCACCTTTGCCCATTAATAAGGTTTTTCAATAGTTGTTGATTGGATATTGTTTTTTTCTCTCTTCCCTGTACCTGTGAAATTGGCTATTGTTGACTTTCTAGGAGAACTGTCAATTCAGGATACCTATTCTATTCAACAGAGTTATCAAACAGTTTACTGTGGAGAATGCAGATATCACCCAGGAAAATGTCACCAACAATTTAAACCAGGCAGCCTGGATCAAAGGCTGAGTCTTCTGCCTCTTGTGACAACCTTTCTGAGCCTCAGTTTCCTCACCATAAAGGTGGGCCACACACGGAGGTAGGGTATCTGAGAAGCATTCACGTTTTCACACACTGTGTTAATTTAACAGATGGTCATGATGATGATAATTACCAGTTCCGTCACTGAATAGGTGGAAGGCTCCTCACTTCAGACTGAATGGGGCTACGGCTGGAGCTGAGCAGACAGATGTGGGAACTTGCATCCACTTTCAAGTCCAGAAGTTTCTCTTGACATTCTCCCAGTCTCTGAACAGAGCCAATTTATATTCTGGGATGATATGGCCAATTAAACTGAGGAGAGAGAAACCCCTAGATTACCTGGTGTTTTTGTGGGTAAATGGAGTTGCCCCTCCTGGAAGAGTTTTCTCCCAGAACCATGCAAGTCAGAACGCTAGGAGGAGACTTTTCCCTTCATCTTTTAAACCATTAGTGCAAACTTTTACTTTTATCTGTATGTGGTCTGGAAAGAGTTTGATGGAACAAGTGCATAGAAACTGCAAAAACAGCAATCTCAGAGTTAATACATTGTCTTTGTTAGGAAGGCTGGGAGACCATGGAGTAACACAAAGGCCCTCATAGTACAGATAAAAACAACAGCTAACGCTGATACATACCTACAGTGTGCTGGGTGCTAGCTCATGCGTTCTACATACATTCGTTTATTAATTTTTGTTTTTTAGACAGAGTCTCACTCTGTTGCCCAACTTGCCCAGGGCAAGTTGGCTTGCCCTTACCTCCACAGCACAGTGGCCGTAATCTCAGCTCACTACAACCTCCCAGGTTCAAGCAATTCTCCTGCCTTAGCCTCCCGAATAGCTGGGATTACAGGCATGTGCCACCATGCCCGGCTAAGATTGGTTTATTTAATCCTCACAACTCCATGAAATAGGCACCCTGTTTTCTAGAGAAAGAGCCTGAGGCCAAGAGGGAGCCATTTGTTCAGGTAGACAGAGCCAGTTAGTGGCAGAACCAGAATTTACACTCAGATTCGTGGTCCCCAGCTCCACATGACTCCTCAGTCCTTCTTCAGCGAATGAAGCTGAAATCATTCACTGCGTACCCTCATTTTCCCAATGGGAAGGCTGGGACTCCTTCTGGAACAGAAGGCTGAGGCCAGAGTGGACTGGGGTCACTGCACTGCTGCCTTCATGATCAGCAAGTGGCATCCATTGAGTGCCTAGCTGCAGCCGCTGGCACGGTAGGTGGAGGGCATTTTCTGCTAAGCTGAGACCAAATGAAACAGCGTGCTTAACACTTGAGAGATTTATGACCAACACAGCCAGATGTGGGGCAGAATTTTAAGAGAATTCATGAGTTCACCATTCATGCTGTTTAATAACCAGTTGAAGCATAAAAGCATTTGTCACTGAAAAATTGTTCACAGAGTAAGAGATGAGTGGATGGTAAGATCCATATAATTGTAGATCCTGTAATGAAAAAACTGAACAAGATACTAGCTGTTTTCCACTGGCTGAGTGTTTAATTCATTCATTTAATAGGAGAGCCTACCATGTGATCCTCATTTACGGGAATCAGGATTCAGTGGCACACACGACGTGTGATCCCTGCCTTCACAGTGCTTCTACTTTGCTGGAATGGAAGTGTCTCATCCACACTGAAGAAAATCATCATTTGGATATGAATTAGAGTGGAATCTGGTCTTGGGAGAAGAGTTCCTGGCTCTGGGCCTCAACTGTAAGGTTAGCTTTTCATTTAGGAAACATTAGCCCCAGCCCCACTTTCCCTTCCATTCCCTACTTCCCTCAGCCTGCACCACAGGAAGGACCCTGCGCCCTTTCTCTCCCAGTGGATCTCCGGAAGGGATCAGGACAAGGAGAAAGAGGTAACCTCAGATCCGAGATTTGCTTGACATACACACAACTTCCTTCCAACAGGAAAAACTCAGTTGCTTTTTTTTTTTCCTTCAAAGGAAAGACAGTTGGTATTACCTTTGTCCTGTTTAGATATTGAAATCCTAAATTGATTCATATAAATTTTGGGTTTGGGAACCCAAGAAGATTGTTTCTCATTAGTGACATTCTTCCTGGAAGGTCAGGCTGAGGAATGGTAAATAAACCTTTGGATCTGGTGCTTCCTCCTCACTCATGATCCAGGGAGAGGGAGAGAGAGGGAGGGAGGGAGGGAGGGAGGGACAGAGAGGGAGAGAGAGAGAGAGAGAGAGAGAGAGAAATGAAGCAAAATGAAAGAAAAAGAAAAGAACTCTATTGTGGACACCCAGAATCCTTGGCTGTGATTCTAACAACCCAGGCTGAAAGTCTGTGCTTTGGAGTAAAATTCCTGGGAAGTTTTTCTCTTACGGGAAAATGTGAAGAAATGAATCTGTACTCCAGCTTTATGAGAATGAATGAATGTGATAGTAATTATACACATTTCTTGAGCCTGAATCCACCACTGAACCTATGGTTTTCTGCTCATTCTCTCTGCTGAGCTCACTGAGGTTGGGTTGTAATGGGGGGAAAGGCTGTGTCTCTTCTGTGGTTGGTCTGAGTTTGAGTTACTGTCTTTGTGTGAAGGTAAATAGATTCTGTGGCAAGTGCTGGCATGGACCATAGAGAAGTCATTTTGTAGAGGATTTTTGTTTCTTTGTTTTTGAAATGGAGTCTCACTCTATCACCCAGGTTGGAGTGCAGTGGCACAACAGCTCACTGCAACCTCTGCCTCCCGGGTTCAAGCAATTCTCCTTGAACCTGGGAGCAGCCTCCCAAGTAGTTGGGATTACAGGCATGAGCCACCACACCCTGCTAA